GAACTAAATCGATATTGTTATTTGTTTTGATTATCCAAGAAGAAACATATATTTTTGGGTAAATTAAAATTTTGATTCCAGTGTGGATACTGTATATCCGAAATCTCTCTTAAATTAAAGTTTATGAGCTATGCAATAACACTGTTTAAGGCTCAAAATTTCTCATGGGATACCTTCAAATCAGAACAAAACTTTTTGTTTTTGGAAACATATACATTTATTATATAGTGGGGAGAGACTATATACTAAAATGTTACATACAAATAATTCCAATGTTTCCACTAAACGAAAAAAGAGATTACACTACTACATGAAACAAATAATCAATCAGAGCTAAAATCACAAGCTAGAGATATCCGATCAAGACCCAACATCCGTTCGAACACCAGAACTGTTGAGTCGGAAGTCATGTGACCGGGCTAGCTCAACCGCATCCTGAACTCTAAGCCTTGTTCCTTGTTGACCCACCACAGTGGCTGCAATCGTAGCAGCCAAATCTCCCATTCCTTTCAAGTCAGAGACACCTCTCAAGATACCGTATAAGATCCCTGAAGCATATGCATCTCCGGCACCACACGTGTCAACTGGCACGCACGGGGACGGAGGGATGTATATGGCCTCTCCTTTTACTCCAATGTATGACCCATTGATTCCATCGGTCACCGAAACAAACGGAACAAAGTGGCTCAAGTACCTCGTCGCTGAAATTGGGCTTTCGTCTGAAGAAAAGTGACAAAACGCTCTTGCTTCATCGCTGTTCGCAAATATAATATCTGCATAGTTGCCCACAATCTCCCTGAATCAACAGAAAAATAATGAGTATTCCCATATTTGCCTTCCATTTTTCTACAGATAAACAAACAGATCGAGACTGACACACAAGCAAACATTTAAGATAACGTCTATATCCAAGTTCTAATGCTTCAAGTTAAGACATTCGCAGTCTGAAGCATCAAAGCTTCTATCACAAATCATTCTTTCTAAGAAAAGCTAATGGACTGTAAATATGTAGTAACTGTCTAAAAAGCAAATAGACACAAGATGACAAGAATGGATTCAAGCAATTGGAGCAAAAACTCACCAGAAATCATCATAATGCCTCTCTATGCAAGACACATCTGATGCTGTAACAGCAACAAGTGCTCCATTTCTGTGGGCTTCTTCGCAGGCTTTTGTTATGGTCCTTATAGTATCAGGAAGCTCAAACAAATAGCCTTCCACGACAAAGACATTTGTCTTCGATATCAAACTAGCCAAACAAGAATCATAATTAACGACAGAAGATGTTCCCTGAAAATTATACATAAAAATTGGGTCTGTTATTTACTTGTTTCAGTCAAACAGACAAAAACAAAAAAAACTGAATTAACATGTCGAACACTTGCTTCAACAATTCTCAACTTGGTTTCTTCATGCAGGCAATCTATCCTACCACTAAATTCATGAGAAATGTTTTGCAGATCCCCTTCTTGTAAGTTAAAGTTTGATCGAGTCTCGTGGAAGCAAAATGAGAAATCCTCACATTTTGAATATTGATTCATAACCTCTGAAACAAGATAGTTCAAACTGTGCTTCTTTAAATAAGAAAAATCTCGAGCATGGGACGTGCCACATGACATATATACCTAGATAGTAAAATCCCCCCAACTCCAAACATACCTCCTCTAAATAAAAATTGGAAGAGAATGGATAAGAACAGTCTGTCCAAGTTATTTATATTTTAGTAAGATTGGGATATTCAATATTGCAACAGCATTTTTCTGATATCAGAAATCCTACCTGATATGCAAGCATAGTACGTTGTGCATCAGGAGTTGTGAGAACTATCACCGTTCCGGTTGTTCCGTCCTTGATTGGAGCAGAAAGAAAATTTACATTTGCTCGACGTAGTTTAGTCCTATAAAACATAAGACGGACCCCGCCCTTGTGAGTAAATCAAACCAAACCGATAAACAGATGAGTCATAAAAACTAAAACTCTAAATCTAGACCGAATTTCAAGTTCATTTAGTGATAGAATAGATTATCTAATCGGTGAAATGATAGTCTAGTCTCACGCCTAAGAAACTACTCTTGCATAGAAATCTTTTTCTAACAAAATCATTTAATCTTAACCTCCAAAAATGAAGAGTAACAACAACAAAACATGCATAAAGAGCGGAGGTTATATTAGTTAATCAGTTTTGTACCTGTAAAAGCTACCCAGAGGGTCACCTGCAATACTGCCTGCCATTGCGACATTCAAAGGGCGGTCAGTGATGGATCGACAACCTAATCTAGCGAGAGCAACTAGAGTATTTGACAATGACCCTCCAGCTGCCGCCTTATAGCTGCAACCATCCATTGCTTGTAATACGTTACCCCTCTCCTCGTGATTGATCAGTTTCCTTGTTCCCTTTTCTAAGCCTAGTTTCTTTAGAAACTCATCATCCACAACTCCAGAGAAATCTACCTAAAACATAAAAGACATCATGAGGCAACAAGGTATAACTCAGTCCAACAGTAGACAAAAGAATAGCAGAAGTTTCCTTTGTTCTTATGGAATAAGCAAGCAAGCATTTAAGCATATCCAGATTCACATTTTCCAACTACAAGTTTTGCATCCCTAGAGCTTCGAATGTTGTATTGTGCTTGAATGATTCATAGTCAACCAAAAGAAACTGACCATGGCTTGGCCGAGACCCAAAACATCCCATCTCTCAGGGGAAGAAGAGGAATTAGCATGGGCTTCAATAAAATCCTCATCGTCTTCGTCTTGACCTCCAATTCTACCGATTTCGCCTTCATCCATATCATCCAATTCTCCGCCGACATCATTCCTAGAAACCATGAGACCCAATTGCCTCTTTTCTGCAATCCTCAAGTTCCAGGTCGTGGTTTTGGTTGGTTTGGGGTGATATAAAGACAAGTAAAGAGGAGAGAGAGAGGAGGAGAAGGCATTAGAAGCGGTAATGGCGGAGAGAGTGAAGGCAGGGATTGGCGAGAGGAGAGAAAGGGCCATGTATTTAGGGTTTTTTTCTCTTTCGTCGTTGGGAGGATGAAGAAAGCTCACATCTCCATCCAAAGCGAGAGGAGCAAGGAACACCAGAAATTTGGTTTCTGCAACCTCTGAGACGCTCTAATAAGTGGATAAAATCTACGTTTCTTATTTATTTATATACAGCATACTTACATGATAATAATGACGATTATTAGTTAACTAGTTACTGTCATTTAGAGAGAGATAAACGCTATTTTTATAATGTTCAAACTAAATTTGAAGAATGGGCATGCCGACAAATTTTTTCTTTATCCCACTCCTAAAATCTTATTTATAAATCTTCTTTTTTTTTTCTAATTATAAATCTTCTTTTTGGCACCTATGTTTTTAACAATTCTCTTGTCTCGGATAACAAAACCACAAACTTTGCCTAAAACCTTGAAAGGTGTTTGGAACAATCTGCTTCCAAAAGCTGTTCAATTCTTCTCATTCTATATCTTTTGTACCACTCAATTTTTTTGTCTGCTTAAGTGCTTATCTTTTGTATCAGACAACTTTTGCTAATCCTTCTTCCAACAGTTTTTAATCCTTGTTAGACTTACCATTTATAGAGAACAAAACAAGGAAACACTATTACCTCTTCAACTACAACTTACCTTTACACCAAACATCAAAAGAGATATAGGACAACAACAAAAAAAACAGAATCAAGACATTCGAAAGCCAAAAGCTGAAGCCAGAAATGAGACTTCCAAAAAAAAAAAGGAAATGAACCTGAAAATCTCCATCTCTAGAGTGAGAGACTCCAAAGATCTTAGGACATAGATTCATTTTCTTGTAAAAGGAAAAAAAGAACCCGAAAACACTAAAACCAAAAAAGAAGAGAAGCAAGAATGCACAATGCCCCTAACTCTTACCCTACAATATGTTTGGGAGCTGTGAATCCAATCTCTGCTGCAACTCTTTGATCTTCTCTGAAAGCTCCATTTTCTGCTCTTTATAGCTCCTAAGCAGATACTCTTTCCCATCTATCACCTCTTTAAGCTCACCCACTTCCTTTCTCAACATCTCTATTCTTTCTCCGTCCCTTACCCCCTTTTCCGTTGTCTCATAGTTGCTTTCGCTGTCCCTGAACCCGTTCACATGGCCATTCCAAGGTGCAACAGGAGATGTCTTGCCATTGCTACCTGCGTATCCCACGCTGTGATCAGCGATCGCTTTTCTCAGTCTCTGAACTTCTCTTTCTGATTCAAACAGATCTCTGTTCATTGCGTCTAGCTGTTCCTGGAGATGGCTTGAGTGTGCCATCTGTGCATTACGCGAGTTTTGCTGCTCTATAATCTGTTCTTGCATTTCCAGTATCATGTCGTCACGTCTCTTCAGCTGTTGCCTCAGTTTTTGTATTACTTCTCGTTTGCTGAAGATGTCTGAGCTCGTTTCAGATACACAAGGAGAATCTGAGCAGGTCGAATGGTGATTGTATGGTTTTGGGGGCAGTTCCAGGCGATCAGGAGAAGATGTCCACATGACTCCGTTCTCTTTGCTAAATGATGGAGCAGGAACCGTCACAAGTGGCAGTGAAGTGTCAGATGCAGATACAATTTGCTCATTTGCCACCTCTTTTCCCTCCACGTTCTCAGTTCCTACATCAAATAAAGAGAAGCAAAGTCTGAAAAGATCCACACATGACTGACTGCTCTGGACTACATGGATAGAGTAAGGGGATTCAGAAATTTTTCAAAGAAAAAGCATAACTCAGTTATTGATATGATATTACGAATCTTGTAACAATTGTTAGCATTCAGCCACTAGACACAACCATCATTAGAGAAATTCTGCTTCCCTAGTTGCCAGCCTCATCGATGCGCATTAATGACAATAAGCCACAAAGAAAAACAGATATTAGGTCCAATCGGTTCATGAAACATGAGTACATGACAAATCTTGTAACTATTTGAAGCATTCCGCGACTTCAAATCAGTCTCATTGATGCACATTAAATATATATGTTCTCTAAATGGCCTTCAAAGACATCATTAGGCAAGAGCATAGAGGCTAGCAACTCTGTAGCAACATCTACACATTTTTCCCATTATCTTTTACTATCTCATACATCGTTTTCACTTCACATGTTGCATGGAAGGAAACCCGGTAAGAGATGATGTGAGGCCTTAGACACTAGCATATAGTGTTTCTTTAGTGACTTGACCAGATATGTATGAGAAATTCCTCTGAAATAATTAAAAAGAAAGATGCAAAATCGCACCTGGAATGGAGCAGAAGCAACAATAATCATTATTATGTGCACAGGAAGATGTGTTGGAGTGCGAGCAACAACAACCTATAGATTTTTTCCTCTCACATGTTCCATTGGCTGCACAACAAACTTCCATTTAAGAGAGAAAAACTACAACCAAATTACAAAAGATGTTAAGCAACAGAGAGATCAAGTAAGTACCTTTTGATCCAGAAGAGCCACACGGTTGAGGTTTCAAATCAAGGGACTGTTTAAGCTTGTACCCAAAGCGAATGGACAATGTGCTTAACAAAGCACCCCCTGCAATTAGGATCCAATTTGGCCCTTCACCACAAAATTTCTCAGTTCGCTGATGCTTGGGAACGCTATTTCTTCGTGTACTCATTGTAGCAAGAGAAAGTAAAAATGTGTCTATCATCCAAACATAACCTACATTGACCGGATGTAAGAATATATCATCATCAAAGATCAAAATGAGTTGAGCATACTTGAACAAAACAAGATAAGAATGATGGTGTACAGTTTTTGAAATCAGCAAATGCTTAACACTCAACAAAGAATCCAGAATGTAGAATAAATACAAGAGAGTGAGCCCAAAGAATCATGTGTTGAGCATTACCTCAAACAGAATCATCCACAGAG